GAAGAAGAAGAAGAAGAAGAAGAAGAAGAAGAAGAAGAAGAAGAAGAAGAAGAAGAAGAAGAAGAAGAAGAAGAAGAAGAAGAAGAAGAAGAAGAAGAAGATTTAAAATCTGGACGAGGAAAGCTTGAAGAAAAAATCTTTACTGCATTAAAAAATGACTGAACAGTTCTCAAATTTGAAGATGTCAGTAAGAAAGGAATGCTGAAATATCAATAAATGAATGTCATCTATATATACACATAGGGATTTTCCCCGAATTCCTCCAATTAGCGCTGGTGTCAGAATGTTTGCCTTCTATATCGATGTTATCCGTAGGATGAGCTATTTGTTCATCTCTCTCTCTCTCTCTCTCTCTCTCTCTCTCTCTCTCTCTCTCTCTCTCTCTTTATCTCTCTTCCTGTGTGTGTGTGTGTGTGTGTGTGTGTGTGTGTGTGTGTGTGTTTAAATCAATATTACTTGGAAAACTAGTCACTTTGGAAAAGTTGTGACCATCGTCATTCATCTACTTCTTCCTTTTCTTCTTTTTTTTCTTCTTATTCTCCTTCTTCATCTCTTCCTCCTCCTCCTTCTCATGTTCTTCATCTTTTATCCCCACTCGTCCTTCTTATAATCTATCAGTATTTTCATAATCCGTTGAGTTGTGCAGCTATAGTTTTGTAGGAGTGAGGTAGCCGTTCTCACACTAACCCTGACACCCCCACCCAGTAAGTAAAAATAAAGGACCCTTTTCCAAGCCTTCAGGCGTATTGGGTACATAGGGTTAGCCCTATATTTTATAGACCAAACGGCACTTAATGGGAGACGTGACCAGCATCACACCGACCGCCTTCACTTCCCAGGACTGTAGCTGGTACCCACTCAAGGCTAGGTCGACCTAGAAGCCCAAATCATTTGGGGAAAAGGTCCGGAACCTGTCAGGACCCGAACCCACGACCTTCCGATCCGCAGGCGAGCGTCTAGCCGCTAGACCACGGTGGTTTCCTACCCCACCCAATAGGCTATAATGTTTATGTATTTAATTTATCTTATAAGCACATGTAGTATAGGGTGAGCTGACTGCATTTGGAAATGGGACAATGAAAAGATAGCAAACCAAACGAAAAGAAGATTCACATTATCACGAACACAAGCGACAAGTGAACGTTGCGGCTACAAAGCATTCATCAGCACATTACATAAATAGAAAGAAGCTGTGGACCCACGTCTTTCGGGCCGACAAGCGAGCATCTAACCACTGCTCTATCGTGGCACTCTGTTTATGTGTGTGTGTGTGTGTGTGTGTGCGTGCGTGCGTGGAAAAGGGGAGGGGGAGACGGGGGAAATAAAAAGATAAATACATACTTGTTGACAAGGTATGATTGAGGCAAAAACACAGCTCTGATTCAAGACTACTGATATTATGAGATGGCAAATCACGCTTAATGACTAAAGAGAAGAGAGAACAAGCAACGGAGTCAGAAACGAAACAAGATTATTATGGCCTTGAGAGAATGAGGCACCTGAGTGTAACCAGGGGGTCTGGCCAGCTCAATACACTCATAGGAAAGGCAAGACGGACATATAACCAGTTACGACCGATTAGTATTGGAACTCCGAACTCTGCTTTGGATGCTAAGGATGAGGACGGAGCACGTATGGGAATGCCCCGCGTGCTGTGATGTCAAATCTTACACCTGGTTTCTCTTTTCTCATAACATGACCCAAAAAATAACTGTCTCTTTCTGGTGTTTGTAATAAGTTGTCTTATAGCACTCACCTCGTTTAAACATCTTTTAACTCAACACTGTGGATAACTCTTTATGCGCAAGAAACTGAAAGTAGTGGGTACTTTTCTCTTTCTTTTTGTGCGTTTCATGTATACTTCCGGTGAGATATTTATAGTCGCTAGCAGACTTGATGATTTCTGTCTTGTTGACAACGGAGAAGACACATCTATGATACTTATATCTTGATTAATTACAATGCCTGTATCAGAGCTTGTCTTGATGATAGTAAACCTGACTGATGGTATATACTGCTGCCAAATGACGTTACCCATTCCATATCGCTAATGGTTGATGAATGAGTCGAGCGTGAGTACTCAAAACTGTAGGTGAGAAAGGAAAAGTGATCACTGTTTGTTATTTAATTTCTGTCGGATCATTATCATGTGTTTTGATTTTGTACTTCTTCTTTTTTCCCCCTATCGTGTTTTCGATAATGATGTAAAACACTGAATTAACACGTTGCAAAATGTGACTTAGAGAGGCAAAGACATGCGCAAGTACTATCTAACATAAATATTTCAACCAAACTCCTTTTCTTATGGGTAAATAAACAACTTTATTGTGGTTGTTTGTTTTTGATTTGTGGCCTTGACCACGTCTAGATTGTCATCCATCAGGTCATCACCAAATGGTTCATGACCAGCCAGTTCTCGCTGCCTGTTAATTTCCTAACACACCTGCTTTGCTATTTAAAAAATTTTCAAAGGACTGTAATTATTGGGGACCTCAGTGCTTGTCACATTGAATTGAGCATGTCTTTCCCCATCTTAGTCTGCATATTTCAGCCTGCCTTGTAAGTCTCTTACAATCACAGCATGTCTGTAGCTGGTTCTGAATCCAGCAGAAAACTGCTGTGACCCATCACTCCATCTCCATTCTTAAACTAGATGTTGTTACATCACATCCTATACTATGTTATACTAAGCAATATCTATTTGCTTTTGCTAGAAACTCCATGCACTTTTAGTTGCTCATATCACCTGCAGTTGTCATTAATAAGTTGTTGAATTTCTGATTCTGCTTTGCCTGGTGGTCACTCCCGCCCCAGTTTGATTAGGACCCTGCATGTCAGAGTTTGTTGCTCTGCCATCTTAACTTGCTCCTCTGCGTGCCTGATGTTTTCAAGCCTACACACATCTTTCTGTCTTATGATTGCCCGAATCCAATACTTTCCTTTTATCAGCCAATGGCTCTTAGCTGTATCCAGGGCTTCATAAAGAAGGTGTTTTTTGGCAGTTAATCTATTGCTTCAGATGCATAAATTAAATGAACCTACCTTGAACTGTTACATATATTTAACCCTCTTGTGACGCGCTCACATTTAGAGATAGGTTGACCTGATGTTTCTTTGGAAATTTATGATTGAACACCCTTCCCTCTACCCCATTTCACAGTGAATTTGTAAGTAAGTGATTTCATAGCCAGAATTATAAGGTTTCAGTAGCAATGCAGGGGAAGAGAGGCAGAGGAAGACTGAGAGAAAAGATGCTGGGCAGTTTGACATCATGGCATGGAGGATCATATTTGTCAGATTTGAGTGATAGTACTTGGAACAGAAGGTTGTGGATCGACATGACTACCAATGCCACACAGCACGGACTTTAAGAAGTAATAATGCAGCCAGACCAAACTGTATATGAGACCTACACCAGAACCTCTGGGTGGAAGGTGAGAGAAGACCACAGAAAAAACAAATAAGTACAACTCACGAACTCGGGCCCAGAAAGAGATTGACTTTCCTTTCCATTCATGAATCGCTGTGTGACAGGGCTTGTCCTATGTTGCAGGGGTGTCAAGCTTAGGGACTGGCTACCAACACATAGCATTTTAGTGCTCACATCCTAGAATATACAAAACATGATATCTCCGGCCTGTGAGAACAACTAGTAAAATGCTATATGTTGGTAGCCGGTCACTAAGCGTGACACCCCTGCAACATAGGACAATCCCTGCGACACAGCGATTGATGAATGGAAAGGGAAGTCACTCTTTTTCTGGGCCAAAGGTAATGGGTTGAACCAACAAATACAGAAAACCACAGCACCCAGCTACAACCCGGTAATAGTGTGAGGACCAAGGAAGACAGTGAAGACTGCAAGATTTTAATTGAAATTTGGTTTTAGGGGTGGAATGGTAACAAAAGTTTGGACAGACACTCTTTTCTTTTTTGACATTATAAATGTAGTGAATTTAATTTAATTCTGCTTTAGTCAGTTTTCATATTGTCTGTTGTCCCTTACAGGTAAAATTTAACAGATAGTAGTAACATTGTATGCACCTTGCGTTGGTTTCGACAGTGGTATCAAGAAAGCTGACCGTCCAGAAAGCAGTGGCAAACTACTGATGTAAATTTGCCTAGAAAAACCACACAACAGCTAGGGGCTGTTGGGGTTGGTTCTGCAGCGTCCTGTAAAGGATACGCAACTAACCTAACAGTAACATTGTATGGTTACCTCTGTAGGTGAAATGTGAGAGTTGATATGAAAGTTGGCGTAAACATTGCTTTGCTTATACCCTTCTGTCCGTCTATACATATTCTCTTTATAAAGAACTAGCCCGCCAAAGATTGTCACTCCCACATTGGACTGTATAGTCACAGGAGGCAGTATCAGCTGTCTGCACAGCGGAACTGCACAATAGTCCTAGGAGAATGAAAGGATCCTATTACTATACCCTTCTTAGATAAAAGTTGATAACCACATATTATTCCTACTACAGATAGAAGGGTAAATTTGATATTCCATTGGTTGCACAGGCGAAAGGAATGGGTTAAATCTTTCAGTATCAAGCAGTACATCTACGTTTCTTGATCATTGTTCTGACTGTCCTCTATTACAGATAGATGTTTTGTTAATTCTTTGTTTTTGAATCATTAGTTTAACAAGCTCTATTGAGTATTAACTCTTTTAAACTCAGACTAAGATTAAATTGCTTTTAACCCTGTGTCAGATATAATGAGTTAAAGTAATGACTACTTGGGGACTCAGAGAGTTAATATTCACATTGTGTGTGTTCCTTCTGCCATGGTCATAAGATGAGACTTGATAATCACATTGTTATTTTGTTATCCCTTACAGGTGGAACATGAAACTTGATAATCACATTGTTATTTTGTTTTCCCTTACATGTAGAAAAGGAGACTTGATAACCATATTGTTATTTCATTTTTCCTCACAGATAGAAGTTAAGAATTGATAATCACATTGTTATTTTGCTCTTCCTAACAGGTAGAAGATGAGAGTTGAGCTGTTTGAACTACGTTTTAACAACACCAATTCAATTTATATAGCTGGACAGGTGATTAGTGGAAGTGTGGTGATAAAGTTAGCTAAAGAAACATGGATTAATAGTAAGTGTGCATGAAAATAATTTGTAATAGCTAAGCATGAAACACAATATTATGTTTAATTTGAGTGTTTAAATGCCAGCTTTTTTTAATTGACTGCTTGCATTAGCATTGAGCTTCATTTCTAGTGGGCAACTGTTAGTGTTGGCACATCTGATGGCTGACTTAGACATTTACTTTGCACGTGGAAACTTCACAGTTTTCCTGAGACATATGTTCTTCACTAGTGAAGTGACAATGAAGGACATTTTATGTGATTTCCTCGGGCATAGAAACAGTTATGGAGGGACCAGTCTGAGGTAATGTTGGAACCTTGACTAACAACTATTGATGTATTATGTCAGTTGCCACCAGTGTAGCCCCCCCCCCTCTCCCACACACACACACCACCTAGTTTTAGACTTTTAACCTGTTTTCTCTTATATTTACATTACACCTGCCAAATTTAATTATTTGTCATTGAAAACAATGCTATGAAGCAGTCAATTAACAAGTCTTTGGTGTTTCCCAATTTTTTTTTTTAAATTACACTTTCTCAGTATTTTATTTTTGCTGTATTTATCAAAAGAAGCTAAAAAGATTTAACCCTTTTCTCCGACAAATGATATGGAAAAAAAAAATTTAACCAGTGGGAATGTCCAACAACAACAAAATCTTTAGAAAAAATATAAATTGTTGACAAGTTCATTTGTCTACATTTTTAAAATTTTTGTTTCAAAATATGTAAAGATGGGGGGGGGGGGGGGGGGGGGGGGGGGGGGGGGGGGGGGGGGGGGGGGGTGAAAACATAATCAAGAACAGAGAGTGAAGTATTAAACGGAAGGCATTCCTTGGGAAATAAACAAATATGTAAAAGGTGACTCATGCCATGACCCTGTGACCTCTATCACCGAGGTATTAGGAACATTTTATGTCAACCTCACTTGAAAAAAACTACTAGACACAAGAAAAACCCCTCTAACTGCTGCAGTTGTACTCTGAATTCGAATTTAGCTTCCATTTAGTTGACTCTTAGGACATGCTTGTTGGGCAGGCAGTGGGTCTGTTCTTGTTTTTCCTACAGCAGGGCCCCCCGAGCCCACACAGGGATAAACTGTATATGAATGTTTGTGAAATAACAGCGAGTCATAATTTGGTTTCTTCTTTTTCATCTTCAAATTCACTGCCGTCTCATAATATTGTGGAGGCTGCACTTGTATTTTTCACTGGAATGAAGTAGCTAGTCACATGCTAACCCTCTTCGGTTACCTTTAATCTCATGCATGGCCAAATGGCTAAGAACACTGGCCTTTCATGTGGGAAATCCAGGTTCAAATCCTCCGTTAGGCTAGGAATTTTTCCTGTCTGTGCAAACATGAAATCCTAACTTGCACAGTACAGGCTAACTGCACTAGCCATGCTGTGGTAAATCCTCAGATTAGACCAAACCAAACCGCCGACACTGCAGACGCAGTAAATACAAGCGGTAATAACACTTGACTATTATTATTATAATTTTCTACTTTACTTTCGTGGGTTCTCATAATCCTCAGGTGATGTTTATTTAAAATGTTCAGAATGCAAATATTAATTTTTTTTAATCATTTTTTTTTCTTTCAAAAGATATCAGCATAAAATTTCATGGGCGAGCTAAATCCAAGTGGGTTGTGCCAAATGGTGATACATCAAAACGGTACCAAGCAACAGAGGTGTACATTGACAGTGAATATCAGCTCTTTAAATGCAGAGGTAATTAATTAGTTTGAATAGTTAAAAATTAGTTTGAATAGTTAAAAATTAGTTTGAATAGTGAATACTGAAAATACAGAAGTCATGAGCATAAGTAGAGAGCAACAGACCATCGACATAAAGATTCTAGATCACAGCCTAAAACAAGTGCAAGAATTTAAATACCTGGGAAGTATCTTTACATTCAATGGTAAAATAGACAGAGAGATCGAAGCAAGAATCCAACAAGCCAACAATGTCGCATACCAGCTTGCCCCAATTTTAAAACACCCTGCTGTCCCAGCTGAGATAAAAAGACAAATTATAAATACAATCTTTATACCGACATTAGGTTATCAATGTCAGACTTGGACATTAACAAAAGAACACGAGAGAAGACTAACCACCTGTGAAATGAGATGTTTGAGAATGGCTGCGAATAAAACCAGAAGAGATCGAGTGAGAAACGATGTGATCACAAGAACTATTGGAACCATACTCATCGTTAAATTTATTGAGAAACAAAGAATGAAATGGTTTGGTCACCTAATGAGAATGGAACCAACGATGCCAGCATCAAGAGCATACAACATGAAAATCGAAACACCAAGAGGCAGGGGAAGACCAAGAAGAAGATGGATTGAAGGAGTCACGGACAACTTGAGACTTCATAACATCACAGCATATGAAGCGACTGAGCGCGCCCTGGCTCGGTTGCCGATCATCTGATAGACTGCGACGCCTAGCGGCACAAGCAGATTTTGACAAAAGAAGAAGAATAGTTAAAAATTAATTTGAATAGTTAAAAATTAGTTTGAATAGTTAAAATAACAATCTATTCTTGTTACCATTTGTCCACAAAGATGTTTATTTTTTTTAGTCAGCTCAGCCAATACTTTCTTAGCCGTAAAATGTGGACCATTAGTTGAGGCATTAGATTTTGGCTAACAGCCATTCAGCTATTAGGTTTGAGCTGTCAAGGGGTCGGCTATAAGTAAGTTATCATTGCCGAGTGGTTAAGGTGACTGACTTAAATCACTAGGGATCTTTCCGCATTCGTTAGAATCCTACTGACGACACTTCTTGTGGAGCAGAGTAACGCATTGGAAGCCTGCTGGGCCCATAATCCCAAAGTCCCTGGTTCAAAGCCTTGCTCTGCTGTTCTCTTTGATGTCTCCTTGGCAAAGTGGTCAAGCCATTTTCCACGGGCTCTGAAGATCATTGATTCCTTTCTCTGCTGTGCCATTCAGCTCACAGAGATCCATGAGGATCATTGCCGACACTACGGAGTTCGTGCTGTTTGTGATACTCTTGGCTGATGTCTAGCCATTCTGTTGAGCGAGACCGAGCTATGTGGGATAAAACCCGGTGCAATGAAATCGATCCCCTTGACTCTGACTTTGACATTTAGTGCAGCCAATCGATTTTAACTTATTTTAGCGATGTGATTTTACTATCAGTTGGATCAGCCATTAGCATTTGCCTATTTGAAAATCTGATCATTCTCTTTAGCAGTTTAAGTAAGTTCCAGGCATAGTTCTCTCCAGGGTTGCCATCTATCAAGGATGAAATTCAAACAGAAGCAAATCAAAAAAATCCTGTTCATCTATATAACACACTTAATCCACGTGGGTTATACTATATGATAAATACCAACATAGACACAGAGACTTGGGAAAAAAATCAATTTCAGATCGACTACTGTGGCAGCAGAAAGTAAAAGATGGATTGTCACATTTTGAAAGAAACCAGTTGCAGCAAGCTATAGAGAGGAAACACCGGAGAGCAAATCAGCCTCATAGCAAGGGATTATCTACTTTAAAAAAAATGTATCTTATATGGCAGAGACTCTGACTGCAAGCTTCACTAGGAAAGTCAGGGGTAGTGTGCATACTTTGGATCTTTTCTCCAGGCCATGCGGGCATATCAGGTAATGAACAGGCAGACAGATTTGCTGCACCCCTGGCTGGTGAATTGATACATGACAAGGCAGATATGGTTAAGGCCCTTTGGGAACAAGCAACGGAATCAGTAGAGAAACAAAATTATTATGGTCTTGAGAGAATGAAGCACCTGGGGTTAACCAGAGGGTCTGGCCGACTCACTACACTCAGAGTAAAGGCAAGACCGACATATAATCAGATTGTGACGTGTACCATCAGTATTGGAAATCTGCGCTGACTGCTGAAGATGAGGACAGAGCATGCATGGGAATGCTTTGAATGCTGTGATGTCAGTTCTTATCTCAACTCAAATCAACTGTCACTCCCGCATCAGACTTTACATTTGCAGCAGATACTGTTCTCAAAGCCAGCGGCACATCTCGGCAATCCCTATGGACTGACGGATGCCATTATCATGTACCATATATCTGCATTTATGTTCCGGGGAGAGGTGAGACAGTTATACAGACAGACTATAATAATCTAGTCATCTCCTTGTGAGATGCAATTTTTTGTTATTTGAAGCCCCACTCTGGCTCTTGCCAGGGGCCGCAATATAGCCCGGCCATAAATATGGTCTAATGGCAGAACGCGGTTTCTGGGACCTCTCCACGGGTGATCCTCATCCACATGGTAGCACTTTGTGTCATCGGGTATTAATCACTTGTGTGATGTCCTGTTGGGGTAAAAGAAGATAGATACATAATCAGACAGTTACTGGTAACATCAAATAGATAGATAGTCAGACCGTTACTGGTAACATCGGAATTGGAACTCTGGGCTTGCTGCTGAAGATGTGGGCAAAGCGCTTATAGGAATGTCCTGAGTGCTGTGATGTTGATTCTTAATTAAACAGTTAACATTAATTTAACATTAAACACTTATATCAGGACACTTGTGCAGTTATGAACTAACCCTAAGTCCTGTGTTGAGGTTGAATTGATTTATTGATCACTAGCTGTACCCGGCCACGCGTTGCTATGGCTCAGAATGGTGAAATGAAGAGGAAAGAAAATAACTCTCAGCTAAAAGTGTCTGTCATATCCCCCTCCTCTCCCCTAGACCCAGTCATATCTCCCTCTCCGAAGGATTGAAAAATAATCCATGGCAAAATTATTAAAATAGAAATAGTTAAAAAATGAGAACTGTGAAATAATATTTTAAGCTCTCTCAGCTAACTGTGTCTGGCATAACCCCCCCCCCCCCCACCCCCCCCCCCCCCCCCCCCCCCCCCCCCCCCCCCCCCCTACTAATCATATCTCCCTCTCTGAAGGATAAAAAAAATCATCACCTGGCGAAATTATTAAAATCAAATGGTTAAGAAATGAGAACTTTAAAATAATGTTTTTAGCTCTCTCAGTAAACAGTGTCTAGTGTCAACCCCCCGCCCCATAACCTCCTCCCCCCTCCCCCACCCACTAATCATTTTATTCTCTCCGAAGGATGGTTGAAAAATCATCACCTTGCGAAATTAATAAAATAAATAATAGTTAAGGAATGAGAACTTTAAAACAAACGCCCGTCTCTCTAGCGAAGTTGGCTAAACCGGATTTCGCGGTGAGCGGGTGACGAACTCCTTGTGGTCCGGGTTCACTCCCGGGGGTGGGCAGAAAAGCCACATTTCTCCCAGATTTACGGTATTTAAAATGGAATCAAGACCGAAAGGTTGCGATATCCATAATACCGAGCCTAAGGGTTAACAACTCATGGCTTCTGGATACTAAAACAAAACAAACAATGTTTTAAGCTCTCTTAGTTAACACTGTCTGGCATCAACCACCCCCCCCCCCCCCCCCCCCAGTAATCATATCATCCTTTCCGAAGGCTAGGAAAGTCACCATGTGACGAAATAGTGTAACTAAATTGAGCTTGTCATCTGTGTCCACCCAGATTTAAATATGTAGCATTAATTTGTACTGAGAAGTAAATGTGGCCAGTGCAACAGCTACCACATCACCCATCCAGTACCAGTACTGCTGCAACCACGACCACTACAACCATCACAATAAAACAACAAAAACTGTCACTACGTTCTGTGTAGGTCAGTGTAGAAAAGAGGAGTTAGCGCCGCATGCTGTCGCCATAGACTATTTAGTTTAATTTTGCCTCCGACATAGAAAAAAAAAACGTGATCACGTAACCAGTGATGGAACCCACTGTAAAAATGTACACTATACTCACAAATAGCGGAGAAAAATACCCCGCACCCGCCATCTCTCCCTCTCCGAAGGAACGATGTTTAACTGACCTTGGTATCCGTGTCCACCCAATCTAAACTGGACTGTAAGCCGTCTTAGTTAACAGTGTCTGTCATCGCCAAATAGTTTTTGATTGAAAAGCGTCGTGGGGAGGCTAATTGGGACTTAACTGAAATCGGATGTCGTTGGGCGAAAGGCGCAGATATCGCAGCCTAGCTGTAAACCACAACACAACATGGCAAATACCCTTTGAAGGGAAAAAAGAACAATTATCACCCAGCGGGGAATCGAACACCGGTCACGCGCGTGAAGGATGGAATACTTACAACTATACTACCAAAGACTGAAGAGTGTAGGTTAGATATCTCATCCTAGCTGTAAACCACAACACAACGTGCCAACGGCCCTCTCGAGGGCGAACGAAGATTACCCGTGACATGACCACTGAGCATCACGTTGCCGCTGTCGCAGGCTAGCTGTAAACCCCAAAACCGAAAAAGGCGTAGATATCGCAGCCTAGCCATAAACCACAACACAACGTGCCAGCCTCCCTGTTAAGGGCAAAAAAAAAAAAGATTATATCACCTAGCGGGGAATCGAACGCGGGTCACTCGCATGATAGGCAGAATAGTTACGACGGCGCTACCAAACACTCAAGGAGATAGTGAAAATGAAATTAAATAGTACAAAGTTCAATAAGAGCTACCACCACCACCATCACAACAACAACAACAACAAAAACTGTCACTACAGTCTGTGTAGAAAAGAGGAGTTTGCGCCGCATGCTGTGGCCACGGACTATTAAGTTTAATTTTGCCCCCGACTTAGGAAAAAAAACAATTTTATCGCGTAACCTGTGATGGAACCCACAGTGAAAAGTACACTATACTCACGAATAGCGGAGAAAAATACTCCGCACCCGTCATCTCTCCCTCTCCGAGGTAACGATTTTTAACTGACTTTGGCATCCGTGTCCACCCAAACTAAACTGGACTGTAAGCCCTCTTAGTTAACAGTTTCTGTCATCGCCGAATAGTTTTTGATCGAAAAGCGTCGCGGGGAGGATAATTAGGACCTAACTGAAATTGGATTCTTTGGCCGAAAGGCGCAGATGTCACAGCCTAGCTGTAAACCACAACACAACGTGGCAACCACCCTTTTAAGGGAAAAAGAGCAATTATCACCCAGCGGGGAATCTAACACCGGTCACCCGCATGAAGGATGACATACTTACAACTATACTACCGACGACTGAAGAGTTTTAGGTCATATATCGCAGCCTAGCTGTAAACCACAACATAACGTGCCAACGGCCCTCTCGAGGGCGAACGAAAATTACCCGTGACATGACCACTGAGCATAATGTCGCCGCTAGCTGTAAACCCCAAAACCGAAAAATGGGTAGATATCGCAGCCTAGCCATAAACCACAACACAACGTGCCAGCCGCCCAGTTAAAGGCTAAAAAAAAATTATATCACCTAGCGGGGAATCGAACGCGGGTCACCCGCACGATAGGCAGAAGAGATACCAACTACGCTACCAAACACTCAAGCAAAAGTTGAAATAAAATTATATAATAATGCAAAGTTCAAAAAAGAGCTCAGCAGTCAAAAATGGCCAATCAATTAAAAATAAATCTGGGCCGGCAACGAAGCAAATAATGATTTGACCGTTGCCGGAGCTACGTCATTCGTGGTTTGTGCGATTTTCTGACAAAAAAGCACGCTTGGAGTCAGAGGCAACGTTGTGTGCAAATTTGAAAGCAATCGGTTCAGTAGTTTCTGAGTTTTTAAAAAACAACATCGGAAAATTACCATTTTTATTAATATAGATTTACTTTGTTTCTTACAGCAACCTTATGCCAGCAGCATATAAACTTTACAGTTTTACATTATGTTTAGTAGAAAGAAAAAAAATGTTAATAAATAAAAACCATTCTGTAGCAGAGTGTTAGCATACAATAGTAGTAACTCCAGTACTATGACAGAATTATCAGTGTGAAGCTCATGAACGAAACAAGTTCAGTTTTAGTTAGACAGGAAATCAACAAAGAGAACATTTGCAGGATAGGACAACATCATCTTCCTGTTGTGCCATTATGTGTCATATGGGGCTCACAGTTTATTATTTTGTTCCATGCTAACTTGTACAGTTGTTTCCTATCAAGGATAGAAGTACTTTTGACCTCTCAATATTCATCTTAGGGTTTCTTTTGGTTTAGTTTTAGAGTTAACGTCTCTATCGATATTGCAAATGGTTCAAATTCAACATGTGTGGCATGAGTGAATACCAAGCATCAGCATGTTAGCATTACAAGACTCACGTGGATGTATGCCTGGGACATGCAGGATTACGAGGGTGTGAAAATGCAAATTTTTTCATCAAAAGCAACAGCAGTGGGAACTCTCATACTGGACAAGACACACATTCTAAAGATCATTTATTACTGGATGCTAAATGGGAGATATGATGTTAGATTTAACAGCAATAATGTTGTGTGAATCTTAATAAGGGTTAGGTCTGGCAAAAAAGGATTTATGGAGGAAGAGAGACGTGTGTGTAAGCAGTGTGCTACTTGAACAGTTAGAATCTACACCTTAAAACATTTCCAGTGGGAGATGGAGCATCTATGCCAGGATATTATGATGTCAATTATTCAATTAATAATCCCCAGTGTGGGTTCCAGGGCCCTATTATAGGGAAAACAAGAATAGACCCACTGCCTATCGTAAGAGTCGACTAATTGGGAGCTTCCTTCGCAGTCAGAGTGCCTCTTCGTGAAAGGCAAGGAACCAACAGTCTGCACACAAATGTGTCAGATCTGTCAAACGGATGGTCATGCAACACTTAGGTTCTGGAACAGGACTGCAGTCCAGAAGTGGGCGAACAACCAGAACTTTCCACCAGAGTTTACAGCTGGTAAATGCAAAGAAGAAGAAGAAGAAATCAGTAATCAATATAATTTAAGTAGTTTCCCTATGAGCTGCTCATTGGTGAGCACTATACCATCGTCATCATGTAGCAGATGGTTTGAACAGTGTCATTATCCATCATGTTCTGCCTGAAAGAAACTTGAGTTAGTTTCAAGATAATCTCCCCAGCTGAACTAGGTCATGTTCCATTCATACATTTTTTAGACATGTCTGCTGTCTGGGGGGTTACAGCTCTGTTGATTCATTTCTGGCTTGTCTTGCATTTAATTATTTCTTCCGAGAAAGAAAATGCCTGTGACATAGGTTGCAGCACTCTCTAGGGAGATTGTGGGTTTGACCCAGTTTCTAAATGTTTTTGTAGTGTTAAGAGTGCTGGCATGCTTGAATATAAGCACGCGATATAGGCGGCAAAGCCGAACAACCTACCTAGCAGTGTGCGAAGGTCAGGTGACTGGAGGTCTATCAATCAGAAGTGAACTAGTGGGGAGATTATCGTGGAACTGACCGAAACTTGATCTGTCACCAGCTGTCCTTTTTCATGCACTTTCCTACCCAGTGGGTCACCTATATCCTGTGTCCATCTTCATGCTGGTTGACTCCTGACTCTCTTTCCTGGTACCATACTTCTGCTGTTATTTTGCCATTCCTCCTTGGTGCGTGATATGGCCAAAGTATTTCAGTTTCCGAGATATGATACTGTTTTCTAGCCAATCTTCCTGGATGTTTAGATCTTTTAGAATGTCTGTATTCTTTTTTGTCCGTGGTAATCTGAGAATCATTTTATAGCATTTCAATCCAAAAGCCTTTATTTTCCTTTCAAGACTGTGTTATACCATATTATATCTTTTTATATTCTTTTCCTTCATAAAAACTTTGACTTTGTAAAATGTATTTTTTGTTATTTCCTTTTCAGACCAGAACGACATTCAGCCACCAGGCATGCATGTGTATCCGTTCGATTTCACCCTCCCACCAGAAGTTCCCTCCTCATTTGAAGGCAGAAGAGGGTTTGTACGCTACCAGTGTATTGTAACCATGGACCGTGGGTGGAAGGGTGTCATCCAGATAGAGCAGGATTTGACAGTCATTAGACATCTGGACTTGTCTGCTGTACCGGGAGCTGGGGTAGGTTATTCACCAGCAGTAGATTCTGTTATATTTTAGTAATTATTTATTCAACCCTTTCATTAATAAAAGATTCTTTTATATTGCAGTAATTGTTTGTCTGGATATTTTGTTAGCAATAGGTTGTTATTTATAAGTAATAAAGTAACCAGGAATATAATTATTTTGTAGAAAAGTTTTTGTAGTTAGTAACAATGTCCTTCTAATAAGTACCAGGTGTTGCAGCAGTTAGCTGAAGATGTCAACACAGAAGTCTGCTGGGATCAGATCGAAGGAATCTGGAATGAATCTTGCGTAGAAGTTCTTGGCAAGAAAGAAAGGAAACATAAAGCATGGATAACACCAGAAACCATTAAACTGAATGAAGATAGGAAAAGTAAAAAGGCAGAATTAAACAATAGCAAAACTAGAGCTGCTAAAGCTAGAGCTCAGGAGAATTACACAGAAGCAAACAGGGAAGTTAGGAGGCATATAAGGGCAGATAAAGTGAAATATCTAAATGATCTAGCACAAGAAGCGGAGACAGCAGCAGCAAAAGGAAACCTCAGAGAACTTTACAGTAACACAAGAAAATTAGTAGGTAAATATAGTCAGCCATCTGGATCAATCAAAAATAGTCAAGGAAAGGTACTTACTAACACTAAAGATCAAATGGACAGATGGGTTGAAAATTTTGAAATGCTTCTAAATAGACCAGGCCCAGAGGTTCCCCCAGATATCCAGCCTTTAGAAATGGAACTGGATATCAACTGTGAGATACCATCCAAAGAGGAAATTAGAAAAGCTATAAATCTTCTTAAGGAAGGAAAGGCGTCAGGCCCAGATGGTATCCCAGCTGAAGCCATCAGGACCAACATAAACACATCAACAGAATTGCTACATAGATTATTCAGTAAAGTCTGGGAGACCGAAGAAATACCAGCAGACTGGAGAGAAGGATATCTTGTGAAACTGCCCAAAAAAGGTGATCTACAGGAGTGTGAAAACTATAGAGGAATTATGTTGCTGTCAGTTCCTGGAAAAAATATTAAGTAGAATTATTTTGGAACGATTAAAAGATGCTATTGATAAAATGCTAAGAGATGAGAAGGCAGGATTTCGGTCAAACAGATCCTGTACTGATCAGATAGCCACATTATGTATTTTAATAGAGCAAAGCATTGAACTGAACTCACCACTTTACATTGGATTTATAGACTATGAAAAAGCATTTGACAGCATTGATAGGGAATCTCTCTGGAAATTGATGGGGCACTATGGAATCCCACAGAAAATTATCAACTTAGTAAAGGCAAAATATAAAGCCATGAAATGTCGAGTTCTTCATTGAGGAAAAGCTAACAGATGCATTTGAAATAAAAACAGGTGTGCGACAGGGATGTCTTTTGTCGCCTCTCCTATTTTTACTGGCTATAGACTGGACTATGAAAACAGTAACTGCTAACACCAAGAATGGAATTCAGTGGACCCCTACAAAACAGCTTGATGATCTGGACTTCGCTGATGATATTGCCCTTCTGTCCCATTCACGGAATCAGATACAAGATAAATTAAATATACTTAATGCGAGATCACAGCAGCTTGGTCTGAAAATCCATAAAGGAAAGACAAAGATAATGAGAATAAATCAGGCAAATAGTAATGTGGTTTCTCTTAATGGCACCCCACTCGAAGACGTGGAGTCGTACACCTATTTAGGCAGTAATGTAGATAAAGATGGAGGAACTGATAGAGATATTAAAATAAGAATACAAAAGGCAAGAGGGGCTTTCATAGCACTAGGGAATTTGTGGAGGTCAAAAGAAATTAAAAGAAATACTAAACTAAAAATTTTTAATTCTAATGTCAAATCAGTACTATTGTATGGGGCGGAAACATGGAGAACAACGAAGTCAATTACTAATAAATTACAGACATTCATTAACTGGTGCCTGCGCAGAATAGAGGGAATAAAATGGTATGATAGAATAACTAATGTAGAACTTTGGGAGAGAACTAAACAGGCTCCAGTGGATCAGGAGGTGAGGAAAAGACGCTGGCGTTGGATAGGGCACACACTGAGAAAACAGGAGAACAGCATAACTAGAATGTCTTTGCATTGGAACCCACAGGGGTATAGGAATAAAAGAAGGCCAAAAAACACATGGAGAAGAGAGCTGGAGAATGAGGTTAGAAAGATTGGGAGGACATGGGGAGAGCTCCATGCAATGGCGAAGGATAGAACGACTTGGCGTGAGTTGGTTGAGGGCCTATGCTCCATTGGGGGATAGAAAGGCAGAAAAAGAAAAAAAAGAAGAAGAACAATGTCCTTTGGATTCTGTTTTTGTATGAAAATCTTCATAATTAATAACAAATTGCCTGGGACGTTCTCTCAAGAACAATTTTTTTGATTAAAAAATAAATAAATTTGGAGTTAAAAATCTACACAAAGTATTTCAGGATCGTCGCCAGTGAAACAGAGTTTGTGGACTGTTGCTGAGATTCTTCAGACTTAGGCTTGAGCTAGAAGAAGAACGGAGCACTTATGGGTTATACCCGTGTGCTATAATATTGATCCGTTGAATATACCGTAAACCAAACCAAATCTCAGGATATGATTAATTTTGTATGAAAATCTTAATAATTAATAACAGATTGCTTGGGTCAAAGAGGAACTTCTTCTTCTTCTTCTTTTTTGAATTCTTTCCTTTGTGGTTTACTGCTAGTGTGCAGTATTTGCTGCTTTGGCCTGACACTTTCAGTTTCAACTGAACCTTAATTAGTATCCTTTTATGACCTGTTAAGGAGTTATGAGACCAAACCCTCACCCCTTCTCCAATGGGACCCTAGAACCGGCATGAGGGAAAAGATAGTACACTAAAATACTCCATAGCTGAACAAGACAAGACTAAAGACTGCTTTGAGTTCTGGATATAATTTTTGTTGTTTCAGATACCACAAGACCTTGAAGGAGAGGAGATGTACGAGGGCTGTTGTTGTGATTCAGGAAATGTACGGGCACGTCTTCGATTACAGAAGAGTGGCTTTGTGTCCGGAGAGCCCTTGTACTATGATATGGTAATCCATAACAAAGCTACGTCTACTATATGTGGGGTAGTCCTGTCACTGATTCAGGTACATCAACTTCAGATTAATATTAGTTGTTCACTCTATTCATAGGTACATTAACCTCCTTCTACAACTGTCTTATCTTCAATGACACAATAACTCTCTCTGCAAACATCTTATCTACAACAGTACATTAAACTCCTTCTTCAAGCATTTTATCTACAACAGTAGATTAACCTTTTTCTTCAAGCATCTTATCTACTACAGTACATTAAACTTCTTTGAGCATCTTTTATACAGCAGTACATTACCATTCTTCTTCAAGCATCTTATCTACAGCAGTACATTTACCTTCTTCTATAAGATACATAAACATCCTTCTACAAACATCTTATCTACAACAATACATTAGCCCCCTTCTTCAAGCATCTTGTCCACAACAGTACATTAACTCCTTCTTCAAGCATCTTATCTACAACAGTACGTTAAACTATTTTTTCAAGCATCTTATCTAGAACAGTACATTAACCTCCTTCTACAAGCATCTTATCTACAACAGTACCTTAACCTCCTTCTTCAAGCATCTTATCTACAACAATACATTAACCCCCTCTGCAAACATCTTTTCCATATTAGAACCTTGACCTTCCTCTACTATCCTATCTACAACAGTATCTTTACTACCTCTACTACCATATTATCCACCACATTAACTCCCTCTACAGTCATGCACCTGCATGTTTGTTTTTATTATTACTCTGCTTTAGTTTTTGTTGTAACTCTGGATTTATATCCACATTGTGCGTGTGAAAAATTTAAACTAGTATTTGTTGCACTGTTCCTCAACATTTTCTACTGTATGGCAGCAAATTTTGGAATGTCAATGAACAAATTAAGAAGAATTTGGAAGCAACAGAGATGTGGTTTCTGAGACGAATGTTACAAATACCTTGGATGGCCAGTGTAATAACGATTGCTTGAAAGAATCTAATGAAAGTAGATCTCTATATATAACAATAAGAAAGAGACAAACATTGTTTTTTAGCCACGTAATGAGAAGAGAGACATTGGAGAACATTGTGACAACTAGAAAGATCATTGGAAAAGGGGGTAGGGGCAGACGAAGGGAGATGCTGGATAGGCTGAAACGATACCATGGAGGGATATCATCAAAAGAGCTGTACCAGGCAACCAGGGATCTTGATCTGTGGAGATGCATAAGCACCTACACCAGTTGGCAGGGCACATGGTGATGATGATGATGATTAGAAACTGCATTTCTAAATAACTTTCTAAATAATATTTCTCGTGTGGGTTCCAGGACTCTGTGGGAGGAGGAATTTTGTGCACTTTAACAGTATGTCGTAAATGACAACTAAGAGATTGCTGAAATTGGATGTGTTGAGTCGAAACGCACAGGTGTCAGTCTAATTGTAAACCACAATACAGATCCATCCACCAACCTCCCCTTTAACGAACGAATGCAGAAAAACAGTGTTGATAATAAAAAATGACCATGACAACCATTCTTTCCTAACAGACAGTACGATACACAGGGTACAGTGACAGCCTCTTCTCCTCTGGCAACCCAAAATATCACGACAAGGTGAGCAACTGGGTACTCTTTCAAAGTGAAGATGGAATCGGTGCCGGCAGAAGTGGATACTTCAACAGTTATTGTATCATCCCTGCAGTGGCTCCATCTCTCTTGGAAGGCTGCGGTATCATCGACATCATGTATGAAATTCATGTAAGGGTTTTCATTATTCTTGGTTAGTTTTTATACTTTATGACAGTGATTCCCAAACTGTGCGCTGTGGCATCCCGGTGAGCCTCGACCTCTTCACAGGGGTGCCGTGTAATATAGTAAAAGCTTCACAATTAATTTAATCAAGACACGAATAGTCATACTTTTACTTAGGTTAGGGCGCCATGGAAACATTTTAATTGGAAAAAGGCGCAGTGACCAAGAAAAGTTTGGGAAACACTGCTTTTTGATGAAAATCTAGTAACTGAGAGTTTCTTTTTTCTTGTTAATGTTATTAACCCATCCCCGTCCCCCCAATGCTGTTTATTTTTAGTAAATATATATAATCAGTTTACGGTTGTAAGTCTTGGACTCTCACTCAGTCACTGAGGAAAAATATTGGCGCTTTTGAATTGAAATGTTATAGAAAAATTCTTAGAATAACATGGACCAGGAAGAGGAAAAACATTGACATTCTGAATGAGTTGAACATCAAGGAGAACAGGCTCATAAACAGCATCCTGTCCCAAAAGTTGAAGTATTTTGGCCACATCAAGCATCATGGTGGCTTGGAAAAGACGGTGATGGAAGGTGCGGTTTGTGGAAGGCGAGGCAGGGGTCGACCACCGCGAAGATGGATACAAGACATTGAAGATGCATTGGCATTGAAAGCACATGGGGCCAGAGAGCTGACCAGGGAAAGGGATACTTTCAAGCGTGCCGAAAAGAGAGTGATGTTCTGTAAAGGACTTGCTGACTGATGATATAATCCGTTAGGTTCTCCTAATGATTTGCTCAGGTGCAGACAATACCTATGCTGTTAGCTATTGTTGTCAAATGTTGAATGTTGAATTAAGAATGGACATCACAGCACTCGGGACACTCCCATAAGTGCTCTGTTCCCCCATCTTCAGCAGCAAGGGAAGAGTTCCAGTTCTGATGGTACCACTAACCATCTGATTGTATATCCGTCTCATCCTTCCCCTGAGTGTTGTAGCTATGCATGTCATGAACAAGTCACTGTAGCAAGTTGGTAAAGCGACATGTACGGTGAATTGGACCCAACTGGAAGTTGCGGTTTTGTGGCTTCCCTGGGTGACAGGTTCGGTCAATACAGTAATGTAAAATACTATACATTTCTGTTGCCTTTGGTTCCATTCCGTGGCAGCTTATGAATGTGAGTCATGGACTGTCAGTCTTTAAAGGATAAAATCTGAGCTTTTTTACTGAAATGCTACAGAAAATTTCTTTGAATGCCGTAGACCAGTGATTCTCAGACTGTGTGCTACAACACCCTGGGGATCCGGGACCTCTTCTCAAGGGTGCCGCGAAATATTCAAAGAACACGAATTCTATTTTCTTCTATCTCTTACATATAAATAGACATACTTTTACTTAGGTTAGGGCGCCGTGGAAAAATTGGAATGAAAAAAAAAGGACTAAGAAAAGTTTGGGAAACACTGCCGTTGACCAGGAAGAAGGAAAACATCGACATCTTGCATGACCTGATCAGCAAGAGAACTGGCACGTAAACAGCATCCTCTCCCAAACGCTGAAGTATTTTGGATGTGTCAAGTGCCATGGTGGTCTGGAGAAAACAGTGATAGAGGTTACAGTTTCTGGAAAATGAGACAGAGGCCAACCTTTGTGTAAGTGGATACAGAGCACTGAAGAAGCATTGGTTATGAAGGCACTCAGGGCTGAAGTATTGGTTAAAAATAAAAAGAAACTTTCGTGCATGCAGTGAAGAGAGGGACATTTTTATAAAAGACACACTGAAAGATTGATTGATTCTATTACATTTTTTAGAAACAAATTCTGCCCATTTTTTTGCAATTATTGGTGTATGGTTAAAGTTAGTTAGTTGTGTATCCTTTACAGGACATTGTAGAACCAACCCAGCAATTTTGTGCTGTTGTGGTTTTTCTAGGCAAATTTATGCCCAGTAGTTTGCCTGCCATTGTTTTCTGGATGGTCGGCTTCTCAATACTACTGTCCAAACCAGCGAAAGGCCCGCAGCTGGGGATAGAACCCGGCACCCTGGCATATGAAACACGTTCGCAGCGCCTAAGCCACAGATGCCCACAGGTGTATTGTAGACCTGGCATCTTTTTAAAGGGTGTTTGGTTGGTCATGGGGTCCCGGTATATTTGTTCCCATAGAGAGGTGTCATCATTTGGAGGCAACAGGTTCGAGTCCTGGTATGCTTACTGTAGCTTTCAATTTTTATATTGTCTGGTTTGTCCTCAGATTTTTTTTTCTTTACCTCTACATCTGTGAGTGGCAGCCAATACATGTGAATTTTTTATTTAGAATTTTCACCTTAATGATGTGTTGTTTATTATAAATAGGGGCGCTGCATTAGCACAGTCGATAAAAGGCTTGCTTTCAAATCCAACTGCAACTCACTGCAGCCCATGGCGGGTGTTCCCGGGGTTCACCCAGCCACTAGGAAATAAGTACCAGAGTTGACACTCTGGGGTAAATGAGGAACGTCGCTGTAGCTACAGAGTTACGTGCGGACGGCGACACAGGCGGACAGTTTCTTATCAGCTGTCCGTACTGGTGGCAGAGCACTTGTGGTTTATAACAGTGTGCAATGATGCTGGTTCACATCTCCCGACTTTACCTTTTTTTAAAAATTATAAATAGACAGTCTGACTGTATTCCTTTATGTAAAGTTTTGGGGCACGTAGAGGCAGGGAACAAGAACCGCACACAAAAAAGCCAGTAAAACGAATGTGCACGCAAAACTCAGGTCCAGGTGAAAGCCAAAAATCCAAATGGTCGAACAATCAGGACTTTCCGCCGGAATTCACCGCCGGTGAACAAGAAGAAGAAGAAGAAAAAGACACGTGGAGAACATTTGAGATACCAGCCTCTCACATCCAGACAGTCCTGAAACCTAGTTAAGCAAAAGTTAAAAAAAAATTTTTACATTTTATTTTCCCTGCCCCCATAGTATTTCATTTGAAAAGACCACGAGCCTCTATAAAGGCTGGTGTGATGCATATCCTGTGTAGATTCCTACAGCTTGGTTTCCACTGAAATGCTCTAACATTTCATACCTGGGATCTCCCACTGTATGTAGAGAGTGTGTCTGTAGCACATGCTCAGTTTTATGTAGTGCCTGTCCTCTTAGACACAGTTCTGAGCCTCCAGTCTTGAATTTCTTGTACCTGTAGCTTCAGAGTCTGTTGTGTCCAGTTCACAGTCTGAATACAATGTTCTGGAACTTTTGTGTCATAAGGTTGATTTAGTATGAGTCTGTCATGTCCAGTTCACAGTCTAAATACAAAGTTCTGGTGCTTTTGTGTCATTAGGTTGATTTGGTCTGAGTCTGTCATGTCCAGTTCACAGTCTAAATACAATGTTCTGGTGCTTTTGTGTCATTAGGTTGATTTGGTCTGAGTCTGTTGTGTCCAGTTCACAGTCTAAATACAAAGTTCTGGTGCTTTTGTGTCATTAGGTTGATTTGGTATGAGTCTGTCATGTCCAGTTCACAGTCTAAATACAATGTTCTGGTGCTTTTGTGTCATTAGGTTGATTTGGTATGAGTCTGTCATGTCCAGTTCACAGTCTAAATACAATGTTCTGCTACTTTTGTGTCTTAAGGTTTATGTGGTCTGGGTCTGTCATGTCCAGTTCACAGTCTAAATACAATGTTCTGGTACTTTTGTGTCATTAGGTTGATTTGGTCTGAGTCTTTCATGTCCAGTTCACAGTCTAAATACAATGTTCTGGTACTTTTGTGTCATTGGGTTGATTTGGTCTTTGAGAATATGTTTTGGATGGGAAATGTTCCACTGGTTTCAAATGGCTGCCTTGATCTAGGTTTTATTTTTCTCATTAGTCCATCCTGTTTCTGACTGTACTTCTTCTTCTTCTTTGTGTTCACCAGCTGTAAACTTCAGCGGAAAGTTCCGGTTATTCCTCCACCTCCAGACATTAGTCTTGTTCCAGAACCTGAGTGTTGCGGTTATTCCTCCACCTCCAGACATTAGTCTTGTTCCAGAACCTGAGTGTTGCGGTTATTCCTCCACCTCCAGACATTAGTCTTGTTCCAGAACCTGAGTGTTGCGGTTATTCCTCCACCTCCAGACATTAGTCTTGTTCCAGAACCTGAGTGTTGCGGTTATCCCTCCACCTCCAGACATTAGTCTTGTTCCAGAACCTGAGTGTTGCGGTTATTCCTCCACCTCCAGACATTAGTCTTGTTCCAGAACCTGAGTGTTGCGGTTATTCCTCCACCTCCAGACATTAGTCTTGTTCCAGAACCTGAGTGTTGCGGTTATTCCTCCACCTCCAGACATTAGTCTTGTTCCAGAACCTGAGTGTTGCGTGCACATCTGTTTTACAAATTTGACTTACTTCTTTGCAGATTGTTGGTTCCTTGCCTCGTAGATGGATGCACTCCAACTTCAAAGGAAGCACCCAATTAGTCAACTCTAATGACATGCTTGTTGGGGAGGCAGTGGGTCTGTTCTGGTTTTCCCCACAAGGGGGTCCCTGAACCCACACAGGGAATCAGGCTGTACTGTATTGCTGCCAGTTTTCACCCAGTAGTCTGTTCTTTCCTATAATACTGAAGTGGCCTTCAATCTGTCTGAAGTAAACATAATTTAAAAACAAAAAAAAAAAAAAAAAAAAAAAAATAACAGTCTTCAGAACTCAAGCATACAAATTACACCAGCACACACCAACAAAATTAATGAAAAACTGTAATATAAGTTGTGTTGGTCAAATGTATAAAGTTTACTGTTAAAATTTCCACAGCTTGAAGTTCCAGTTGGTTGGCGAACAGTTCAGCTTGGCTGCAACATCTTTATTGGAACCATTCCTCTGAGGCACTCGGGTCCTTTACCATTTCGAGAACCAGGTGCCATCGCTGGATTAGGCGATGGAGACATAACGGCAGGAGATCTGGATTTGTGTGTCCCACCATCTCGACAGTATTGTGACTGTAAGTATTTGTTTCCTTGTTTAATGTTGTTGAGTTGAGTCAAGAATTGACATCACACCAGTCGGGGCATTCCTGTGCATGCTCCGTCCTCATCTTCAGCAGCCAGCGCAGAGCTCCAATACTAATGTCATGTTGTTGAATGTGAAGAGAAAGAAACATTGTCAAGAAATCCTGTATCAGTCACTGCAGTAAGGGTTAGAAGGGATAAATCTTCACACATGCTGGGTCATTTCATTCTTATGGTATCCTGACAGTATTGTGACTGTAAGTGTTTGTTTCAAGTTGCTGAATATGGAGATCCCCGTGTGGGATCTGAGGCCCTATTATAGGGAAAACAAGAATAGACCCACTGCCTACCCAAAATCATGTTGTAAGAGTCGACTAATTGGGAGCTTCCTTTGAAGTCCGAGTGCATCTGTCTGAGAGGCAAGGAACCAGCATACTGCATACAGATGAGTCAGATCTGTAAAACGGATGCACACGCAACACTCAGATTCTGGAACAGGACTGCAGTCCAGAAGTAGATGAACAATCAGAACCTTCCGCCAGAGTTTACAGCTGGTGAACGCGAAGAAGAAGAAGAAGAATGTGGAGGGATATGGACATTGTATATCTTGTATCAGATACTACAGTAGGGTATGAAGTAAGATGGACAATCAGTTATATCAGCTGTTATAAGACAAAAGGAGGGCTATACCATGAGCTGTATGTGACATGGGAGCTGTTGTGGTGTAGTGATTATACGCTTGCCTGTGGATCAGGAAGTTGTGGGCTCAGATCCAAAGTGATCTCGGCTCCCAGGTTGACCCAGCCTGAAATGGGTACCAGATAAAGTCATGGGAAGTAAAGTGGCCAGCTTGATGTTGACCACATCACCCACTGTGCTAAGATTGGTCTATAAAAATATAGGTCTAGCCATAAATGCTCACTATATCAGAAGGCATGGAAAAGGGGACCTTTACTTTACTATGTGTCAAATACGCACAACAGGTTGGTGTGGCACAACATGGCAAAGATAAAAGTCGCAACTATATAGTCTCAGAATTCAAAGGGACAGACTGGGAGGATCAACTTCATTGCACCAGGTCTCCCCCATTGCACCGGTCTCCCCCACTGCTCAGTCTCTCTTTTTATAACAACTAGCTGCCTGCTGAAAGGACAAACTCTGTTGCTCAAGACTGATCCCTGGGGATCTTCATAAAAATTGCACTTGTGAACCAAAGGGCACAGTCCATAAATTGATTCCTTGTCTTTCAGATCTCAAGGCCAGCGGCTAATCCATTTAGTTAAAGAGATCTATTATAGGGAAAACAAGTATAGACCCACTGCCTACCCGAAAACATGTCATAAGAGTCGACTAATTGGGAGCTTTCTTCGAAGTCGGAGTGCATCTGCCTGAGAGGCAAGGAACCAATAGTCTGCATACACATTAGTCAGATCTGTAAAACGGATGCACACACAACACTCAGGTTCTGGAACAGGACTGCAGTCCATAAGTAGATGAACAAACCAGAACTTTTCGCCGGAGTTTACAGATGGTGAATGTGAAGAAGAAGAAGAAGAAAAGTAAAGACATAGATAATGAGAATAAATAAAGCACACACACATACAAAAGGCTTGTTTCTACTCTTGTGACATTTAAATAAAATTGCAGTCTCTTGAAATTTGTCTTCTTTTATCCGTAGTTCCCCCTTCTTATGAGGAATGTGTATTTGGCCGAATGGAATCCCAGGAAGATGGAGATGGACTAGATGATGATGATGACGACAACAACCCAGATGGTCGTGCACATAGTCAGAATCACACAGTGCCTGCAACTTCCGCTGCCATGCGGCGAAGTCAGTTTCGCCGCCTTCCGAGCTATCCGTATTACAGCACTGATCATTTTACATCAGGGGGAGACTACTTGCCTGGTTGGCATGACGAGAATCAGCAAGAGGTCTGCCCCAACCCCTCACCACCACCACCTCCACCACCACCTCCACCACTACCTCCACCACCACCAGCAACAAATTTAGGTTACACCTTTGTGCCGGTAACAGAACAGCCTACAGTCTCGGCAGGACTGTCTCCTCCGAGCTATGAGTCCTTGCATCTTCAGCATTAAAGACATGATCTGGTTACAGGAATCTTCATAACCATTTTCGCATAAGCTGTTGCCTGTTTTGATTTCTGGTTCTTCATAAAATTCTACATATTCATGCGGTGCTTTTCTTATATCGTTGGCTTTGGCAAACATTTTGGTTGTCTGGCATTTGAAATGTTCTAGTCATCTGAAGTAAAAAAAAGTATATTTATGTGCAGTTTACTTCTTCATTCACATGCACGCTTCTGAACAATTGTAATATTGGGTATATTATCCCACATGAAGTTTATTCTTGGTTATGTGGGTATTCAGGACACATGTAAAATGTTTTACCTTGTTAGAAAACTTTTAATCTTGAATGCATTATTCTGCATCGCGTTCCTTTTTGTGTAGGTTTTCTTGATAGTTTATTGAATATTGTCTTTTGTAAACAGCTTTTAACTCTTTCATCCCAGAATGCTGCTAATCTAGCTTGAACATCTGTTACAGATCCCCAGGAAAGATATTAAACTGGTATTGCTGCATTGGCTAGTCCCTAGTAAACAGCATTGATTCTGTTTGCACCTGTGCAGTATTTAGGAGTTTAGAAGGAGTGGATGAAATTATGTATACTAAAAACAACATTTGATTGGGGGGGGGGGGGGGGGGGGGAGGTGTTTAATATTGTGGACAAAAGTTGTTTTGGGGGGGGGGGGGGGGGGGGGGGGGTTATAATGTCATATTTGGCTTTGCCTTAGCTTTTTCAAATGACAGAGTCATAATGTAAGTTGTCGAGTACATTTATTAAGGCTCAAAGGGATGTATTTCATTATATTATCTGCTGTAATTGTGTTTATTGATTAATCTTTATCATATATTTCTAAAAGAAATTTTTTAAATGATTACATCAAAAAAAAAATTGTAAGTGACTTTTGTAAATTGTTGCCTTTTTAAGGGACTTTTTCCCCTGGAAATTTCCAGATTTTGGGCTTTTTTCCAAAGATTTTCTGGTGTGAAAGGGTTAAGATTGGTTATGTTGTTTTCAAAGTGGCTTATCATTGTTCTAGGGTTATTCTTCTTCTTACTCCCTCGTCATACTCTTCCCCCTCCCTCGTCATACTCTTCCCTTCTAATCCTCTTCCTCCTCCTTGACTTCTTTCTACCTTTTTTCATTTCTCATTGTAACAATTCAGTTCAATGCACGAGTGCACTTTTTACGAAGACTCCTTTGGATTGTCACTGGAGCTACAGTGACCATGCATTGAGTGCCGCCCTCAGCAGGTGGCTAGTCCTTCTGGAGAGAGAGACTTTTAATGTTTAATCTTTGTAGACTTGTTGATGGAAGTTTAAAATTTGTAGCTGATTTTCTACAGTTTGAGAAAACCACTTGTACCAGTTCTCCTTAGTTGCCTCTTATGTCATTCACATAAGATGGCAGTTTTACTGTTTTCTGTTTTGCCTATGGACCCCAGTGTTACTTTTCTCTGCTTCTATAGACCCCAATGTTATTGTTCTATGCTTCCCCTATGGACCCGGTGTTACTATTCTTTGATTCCCCTATGGACCCCAATGTTATTGTTGTATGCTTTCCCCGTGGACCCCAGTGTTACTGTTCGATGCTTCACCTGTGGACCCCAGTTTTACCATTGGATGCTTCACCTATGGACCCCAGTGTTACTGTTCGATGCTTCACCTATGGACCCCAGTTTTACTGTTTGATGCTTTACCTATGGACCCCAGTGTTATTGTTCTCTGCTTTCCCTATGGACCGAAGTGTTACTATTCTATGCTTCCCCTATGGACCCCAGTGATACTGTTCGCTGCTTCACCTATGGACCCCAGTGTTATTGTTCTCTGCTTTCCCTATGGACCGAAGTGTTACTATTCTGTGCTTCCCCTATGGACCCCAGTGTTACTGTTTGCTGCTTCACCTATGGACCCCAGTGTTACTATTCTATACTTAAAAGACACGAACAGTAGAACATACAATTGATTGCCTGCCATATAAGTGTGAATCTCATCAGGTCCATACTATAGTATACCATAGTAGTTCGATACTAAAGTTCGATTTCTGCAAGGACAGACAGTTTTAGTTTCCTAAACATCTCTTGGTGTATTTCGGGCGGTTTTTTGAGAGTCGTACCATGGAGGAGATAGGGGCCTTACAACATAATATTCCTAGAGACAGCACACTGTAGCCACCCTTCATTGTGGAGACAGTGCGCGCGCGCGAGCGCACACACACACACACACGCACGCACGCACGCACAAAGCAACAGTATGCTCCTCCTTCACCAGTTCATGATTGGTATTCTCTCTTTACATCTTTCCAAACCGTTTTACCAGACTACTGCTTTGGGTTCTTTATTAATATTCTACCCAAGATGACATCACAGGACAGTCCAACATTTGAGAGGGTTGTAAGACTGGGTTTCCCGGCTTTCTGATGCTTTTAACGACCCCAGAACGTCTTGAACTGGACCTAATAACCCCAACCCACCTACGTCCCACGAGAGAGTGCAGCCTAGGTCCCACAACTGCATGCAGCCTATCTACCACCCCCAGAAATATTAGACTGTCCCGTGACCTGTGTATACAGTTTTTACTTCTCTGTCATCTGACATTCTTTCAATATGCCCCAACCATTTCAGTCTATTAGCTCTCATTATGTCAGTGATCAGTGGTGATTTAAACAGATTATGAATTTCGATGTTGCTTCTCAATCTCCATTCCCTGCTATTTGCATCTTTGATCTCATTTAACATTAGAGCTAAATAAATAATCCAAGCTTCTGAGATTGATCAAAATTGCTAGCAAGTTTTATGCTGTGTTTTTTTCTCAGCGTTTCATTTTCAATTTAATTGAATCTATTTTTACCTTGCAACCAACATTTCATATACATCTGATTTCACAGGCGGTTTGTTTTTAATACTTTGTAATCTTTAAGGACTGGTAGCATATTTTAGATACAAAGAGAGCATTTATTGTATTAATTTTCTTACTGGATGCTTTATAATTGGTGCTATTTGGTTTATTTTTATTTTTCTAGTCAGTGTGAGAAGGTTAATGATGGGAACATTTGAAATAATATAATTGTTACTTAAATATGTTCATTTAATTCTTGTAGTCACAACAGGAATGTATGTAGCTGTTTATTCATCACCACCATAAACCACTTCTGCCATTAAGCTTCATAGGGAGGGATAATTTGTGATCCAGTGCATTGGCCATTGTCGTGTAGTGAAAGTGTAGTGTGTCTTTTATGTTGTCAGTCTATTTTTTCATGGTCATCCTCTTGCTCTTGTAGCTGAACTTCTGAGATGGGGTGCATGTGATGGTATCTGGTGTTGCTGCATTCTCACGAGATGGTGCCCAAACCACTTGATCTGCTGTTTCGCGTTGAATCTTGTACAAGTTGTCGTTCCCACATTGAGTCTGGTAGTATCATTTTTCTTAGTATCATATTATTCAGTCGATCTCGGATGGTTAGGTTGGGAGCTTTTCTTAGGCATCGCATCTCCCAGGTGGTGATTTTACCTAAATGAGCTTGAGAAAATGTCCATGTTTGGCACTTGTAGCTCAGTGTTGGTATGAATATGCTGTTTATAATCTGGTGTTTTTTTCCCTCACTCATTGTTATTTGGATGCATAATAATTATAACAGTTCGTATATAAGTGAGTACACTTGTTTTTTAATATCTGTTTTGTACTTCTATGTCCATTCTGCCATCTACCCTGATCACACAGCTGTTTATTAGCATGGAATAATTCATATCATTGTTATCACTGTCAGCTTTACTTCATTACTTATATTGATTTACTCACTTTTTGTGTGAAACATACCAAAACCCTCTACATATTGCTTCATTATGTTTAATGTGTAAATAAGTGTTTGCCTACAGAAGCAACCTGGAATTTCCATCAAGTATTTTACATTGCCCTTTGTTATATATTACTGATGTTTTCCAAATTTTTCCACTTTAATTATTTGTCCACTCCTGTATATTTTTCCACTCCTGTATATTTTTCCATTTCTGTATTTTAATTTTTTGTTCCTGAATAATATGTTCCTTTTTTTTTTTTGACATTTCCCTACTAATGTATGATATTTTCCTTTACCAGTATTATATTTTCCTACCCCTACATCATGAAAGTATATTTGCCTTGCACAAATATAATAAATGACAGTATAGTATGTGTGTTTGTGTGTGTATGCATGTGTGGTAAACTTATCTTGATAGAAAAGTTGGGCAATAAATAGAAAACAGTACCCCAACTTTAATTCTGACGAACAGTGACAGACATTAGGAAACAGAACTTGAAAAACTGTTAAACTTAGCACAAAGGAACCAAAACCACAATTATAACCAAGGCTATAGTCAGCATGTTGAATGTGGTCAGAATTTGTATTCTTGAATTGAATCTTTACTCTAAATAGAACCCAAATACATATTTTAACAAAGCAGTTAAAAGGGGGAAACTTTTGATGTGATAAAAAAAAAGGAAAGGATTTTTCATGCCATTGACACAGTGGGTATATGCTACTAGCCCATTGTTCGTTAAGATCAGTGATGCCCAAACTGTGCGCCGCTGCCCCCTTCTGGAGCCGGGCCCTCTTTACAGGGGCACCACAAAATATTTGAAGATTCATGAGTTTTTATTTTTATTTTTGATCTCTTACATACTAATAGTCATACTTTTACTTAGGTTAGGGTTCTGTGGAAAAATTTTAATTGAAAAAAGGGGCTGTGACTAAGAAAAGTTTGGGAAACACTGGTATAAATGCTTGCCTGCAGATTGGAGGATTGTGGGTTTGGCTCCTGACTGAGCTGGACTCTTCAAAAATGATCTTGGCTCCCAGGTCAACCCAGCCTTAAACGGGTACCAGAAGCAGTCCTGGGAAGTAAAGGTGACCGGCGTGATGTTGACCACATCACCCACATAGTGCCAATTAGTCTATAAAATACAGATCTAGCCCTATATGCCCATTAAACCAGAAGTGATCACCAGTATATGTCACTTGTAATTCACCACATATTGCT